GGCAGGGGCGAAGGCGCGGACGCGACAGGGGCGACGGCGCGGACGCGGCAGGGGCGACGGCGCGGACGCGGCAGGGGCGACGGCGCGACCGCGGCGGGACGGAATCGCCGCCAGCGGGTAAGGGCCGCGCCGGGAGCGCACCGCGCCCCGCCACACAAGGCTGCGGCAGACCACGAGACGTGACGAGCGAGGGTCACGTGACGAGGCTGGTAGGTGGCAGAGGAGCCAATGCCGATCCCCCAGTCAGCCTCTATCCTGGTCATGATGTATGGAGCATTATATAACCGTGTTGGCTACTGAGGCCATTGCGCGCTAGAATCCACTACTTGATGGGCGCCACACTGCTAGCAGGTGAGCATGCATGAAGATCGGTAGTCGCCCGAAAGCTCGGCAATCGATGAGGTTCTATTTTAGGGGTTTTCCTATTCATGACGTCAGCGGCCCAGGGCCGCCGAAGACTTTCCGCCGCTCGGCAGACAGCTGTCGGCAGTCGGGCAGGACATAACCGACAGTGAGCATTTCGCCGCGTCTACGGCCTGAGGGAAAGTCTTGAGCGTCATTTATTCGAAGTATGTGCGTGCTATACCTATGGACAATGCATGGGGGTATAAATGGTTTTAGCTCTTTGGTTTAAGCTCTGCGTGATTTTAGAAACGATGACGCCCAGGTGCCTCTGAATGGTTCGAAAGCTTTCAGCTTGTTTGAATCCATCCTGGCCATGTCAGTCGTTCACAGAGGTTACGGTGGGGAGAACTGGGAGCGGGCCGCTCCCGCACTTCACGCACTGCTGGGGCCGGTTGCACCGTCCCACACTGGCAGCGGCTAGATAAGAAAACGGAGGTCTGGTATGCACATTCACGTTTGACAGGCCACGTAAATGCATTCTTTTCACCATGCCAGTGAATGCTTAACAATGAACGCAAGGACCTGATTCAGACACGATGACCTGATTCAGACACAAGGACCTGATTCAGACACAATGACCTGATTCAGACACAAGGACCTGATTCAGACACAAGGACCTGATTCAGACACAAGGACTGCAAGACACCAGCATCACATAATCTTCTGTGTATACATTCAAACCTGCATCACATCATCTCCCGTGTATACATTCCAGTCCCTGCTGTCGACCAGGCGGAATGATGCCATGGCTCCGGAGCTGTCCTGCTCCATACCCAGCACGCCCCGGAAGCGCCGGCGCGTCAAGGCCGTGAGACCTTGATTCGTCGCCACCAGGATCTGCGGTACGTGGGGTCGCTAACAAGTGGCCTTGTGTTCCGAAGCTAGCCGCTGCCTAAATGAGGAAAATAGATGGAAACTCTGTTTTCCCTGACTGTGAGAAATGATCAAAACAGTAGGCACAGCAAACTGCTGACGAGCCCTATCACAGCGTTAATGCCACCGGTATGTCTGAAAAAACAAGTACGTCAACTATTATAAGACGTGGTGTGTAAATACCCGCAACATTGTTTAGGTTGTATGAGACGCCTTCGCCTTCTTGGATTTTCATAATTCCCTGAAAACATTTCTGGAATAGTCAAGGGGTCGGGCCAACCATTGAGAAGGGCATGGTATCTCCAAACAGACACACGGCTCCAGACCCACGAACGGCAGGCGAAGTACTTTTCTCTCTATCTCAGCTCTGGTTGTCATTTCCGCGAAAGAAAAATCACAACTGGTCAACGCAGGTGCCGGGTTGTGTTTCATTGTCGCAGTCCCTGCACGAATCTGTCAATTACTCTCTTCTCAGAACAAACCTCACTTATGTAAAATCCAAACACAACATTTGCATCGGTGAATGACGTTTGCATTATGCATACGTCGACACCAGCTTGCGCACATTCCGTTGCGGCTTGCCTCGCCGGGCTCTTGAAAAATGGACCGCGGTCCATCAACACGAGGAAGTAAAACTGGACCGGCAGTAACGCTGATGCATCCTCATACACCCACTGATTGACCTGATGCATCCTCATACACCCACTGATCGACCTGGTCTGCGCTAGAAGCGCTCCCAGACCCCAAGAACACAGCCAGGGGACAGAATGCCATGCATAGCGGTGAAAGTGACGAAACATATCATTTGTCTCTATTAAAAAGATGTGCGTGAGTGCCTCCCCTATTTGCACAGCTCTTTCACGACCATTTGTCGTCCTTTTCTCATATTCTGGGGACGCGTAAGAGACGTCACCCAAGCAATTAAGTCCGTCAGTGGAGACCCATAATATTCGTTAGCGGTTTCATTGTAGGGGGGGGGGAGGGGGGGGGGGGGTATAACCAGATTTCTCCCAAGCTCAGGTGAAACACATGTGCTATGGCTTTGGTGTCTTATGGCACGCAGTGTCTGAACGGGTGACTATTTCCGAGTGTATTTCACTTTTATGCGAACAGCGTGGTCCTTGCCCCGACCGACGTGACAACAGCACTCTCGGTGATCGCGGCTGGGGTCATGCAACAGGTGAGCGGACATATCCTCCCTGGCCTCCTGCACACGATACTCCATCCCACCGCCTGGTTTCGAGGCATACCTCACATCATTTCCCCACCATCATACGACACATGCATGAGGCACTGACAGGCAGGTTACCGGGCTGCCTGCCGGACGGCACCCGTCGCTCCCCCACCCCCACCCCCACCCCCCGTTGCGTCCCATTTGAACCCAGCCTGCAGCGTTGGTTAGAAAGCATGTGTAAACAAGGAAGGGGAACCCCGCCCGGCCGCCGGCGACGGTAAATGTCGCAGGGGAAGGGGTTTGAACAGCGCGAAGGCGCGGACGCCGCAGAGGGTTCGGGGACTCGCGTGCTGTCAAGTCAGGTGCGGGGATTCGCGTGCTGTCCAGTCAGGTGCGGGGATTCGCATGCTGTCCAGTCAGGTGCGGGGATTCGCATGCTGTCCAGTCAGGTGCGGGGATTCGCATGCTGTCCAGTCAGGTGCGGGGATTCGCGTGCTGTCCAGTCAGGTGCGGTGATTCGCGTGCTGTCCAGTCAGGTGCGGGGATTCGCGTGCTGTCCAGTCAGGTGCGGGGATTCGCGTGCTGTCCAGTCAGGTGCGGTGATTCGCGTGCTGTCCAGTCAGGTGCGGTGATTCGCGTGCTGTCCAGTCAGGTGCGGTGATTCGCGTGCTGTCCAGTCAGGTGCGGGGATTCCCGTGCTGTCCAGCCAGGTTCGGTTACCGTGTCACGCGTAACGACCGCCCGCTAGACCAGGAGCCAGCCACAGGAAGTTCAAGGGCATATTCACGCTGGACCCGTTCGGCGGTCACCTGACGCTGTCACTGGTTACAGCTGGCATCGCCTCTGTCTACATCATAACTCATAATAGCGTTAACGTAACGATGACAATCTCTGACTATATAATGGTCTATAATGACGATGACACAACGATGATGATCTGTGAAATGACGATGAGTCCGAGAATCACCCTTATCTTCAGTTGCTTTTCCGAGAACGTTTGGCGGCATATTCTATGATAGTTTGTCCGGTATAAACAGGCTCGCTCCCGCTCTGGGACGTTGAATGCATTAATGCACGGATACAACACGGTTACAGCAGAAGGGATGCACTGCGTTGACTTGTTTTGCAAAACCCGAAACAATCCCTCATGTAACGGTACAGCCGCTGCTTTCCTACCCGTTTCTTTTCTAAAACGGGTCATTCAATGGTGATTAATCGGCCGAGCCACGATCAGCGAACTTTTAAGTGGTGGTCGCGGTGCACTTGAGTTCGTGACTCAAACCCGATCTAGTCGCGTTCTGGGATAGAGCTTACGACTCCCTCGCTTGCACTCGAGTTCGTGACTCAACCCCGATCTAGTCGCGTTCCGGGATGGAGCTTACGACTCCTTCGCTCCGCTCGGCCGTCACTAGAAGACGATCACGAACTCACTGCACTTCGCGCCCCGGATTTCAGGAGCAAGGACGCCTCGGTGAACCATGACAGAGCACGGCTGGACAGATCCGCAACTGATGGCCGGAATTGACTAACACCAAACAGCCTTTCATCCACCAGCTAACTACTGATCTAGCCCTTTTTCGCGCGGGGCCGATTCGAAATCGGGTTGCGATGCTTCATTCACACCTCATCCCCGCACTGTTCCCCCGAAACACGAAACTTGGCTACTTCTTCTGGCCACCCATTGGCATATCCTTACACAAATTTGCCACTCAACGCTGGCTATGGACTGACTCCAGCGTTAATGTGTGGGACGCATGTCGGTACATCGCTTCACGGCACGCAGTGACACTTTGTTAACTACTCCCAAGTCCATGTTTGATTGAAATGAGCTTGCATACCATTGCACCTATCACCATTACTAATTTGAATGTCTTTTGAATACTCTAGACTGCTGCAGGCGGGTGAAGAGGGCGGCTGCACCAGCATGGGACTGCCGCCATCGATGGGCGCTGGTTTAGGTGCTCAGATCAAAGCATGCTTGTCCGAATGGCAGCTGTAGCCGGCTGCCGGTCGGATGTCCGATAACACAGGCAACTTACAAAGGGCGGACAGGACGTGTCAGGGGCGGATCCAGCGGCGGACCCAGGAGCGGATCCAGGGAAGGCCGGAGGACGGATGAAGCACGGCAGTTGCGATTTATGCACACCCTCACGTCATGACGAACGCCCCATTTTGCCCCATAAATTGCATTCCCAA